AGCAAAATGGCTGTTAGATTAATACCCTAACAAAAGACTTAATAAAAAAAATCAAAGTGACTAGTCAAATGGGGGCATAACGGAGAACAAATAAATCATAAGTTATCTGCCCTTTAGAAATGCCTTACAATTTAAATACGGAACAAATTTTACTAATAAGAAATTAGGAGTGGAGAGAGTTTGTGAGAAATTGACCTTAAAAGAAACGATTAAGTATAACTTTATGGAGATGAATGTTAGGTCAACGGATTATCCCTCCTTCTGAAATGGAGTTAAGATGCATATCAAGTTTGAAGCAAAAACTTTGAAAGTTACTGAGGAAATGGACCTGAACAAAAAGGTTAACCAGGGCTAAAAGTTTAATTCAGGGACGGATCGAACTACTTATGTTATATGAACTGGTGGTCCAACCCTTTTTCTTTCAAAAATGTATTGTTATATTTTTACCTAAATATTTGCATTGTACATTTTGTAAAAAAAGGAATAGAATATGTTTTTAAAACTAAAAAATCAAATTGAAGAAGGAGCATAACTTTGCAAAAATGTCAATTTGGGAAACGGGCGCTCTTTTATGATAATAAACATGTTTATCAAGTTTGAAGTGAATAGCTTTAATTCATAGTTTCTGAGAAAATGGACCTTAATGAAATGGTTAACCAACGCCGACGAGATAACCATGCTGTATTAGCTCTTTTTTCGAAAAGTGGAGCTATAAAAACGATAGGACACTCCCTTCTTTAATCACATATCATAAATTCATAAAATCTAAATTTGCCCCATACAGAATAAATACAAGCGTGCCTTATTTATTTCATTCGATGAAACGAATTTAAAAATCTTTCAACAAAAATTATCTTCCTTTAGATAACAATAAAGATAATTTTACTTTTAATGTGCGAATTTTTCCCTTCTGTTTTATCAAGTCTGCTATGGACTTTTTTTCTGGGACTATTTTACAGTAATCTTAAAAAAGCACTTGTTCACGAGTTTACGTTTGGTCAACCATTAACTGGTTAACTGGTTCATCAGCCATCCAACACTTTCACAATCTCACGCACATCCATTAGGAACAGTCCTTATCTGGATTTCGATGGAAAAAGTTGCAATAAATGCACACCAACTTACCTTCATGTTTAAGTGAGAAACAAGTGACTATTATTCTGATTTAATCTGTTTCAAGTTTATTTAACACACGTGCATATAAGTACACCAAGCATAAAGGTCGCGAGGTTGTAACGGATGAATTATCCTAAATGAAACATGCACTGGGCAAAGAAATGTTCCTGTTTTGAATTGATTTGTCATTATTTATTTTATTGCCATGCGGTTTTCCTCGTGTATTCACTACAACTAATTTTCTGCCCGAAAATAAACATTATTTTTTTTAATTTGGGTTGAAAGCATTATAAACTGCCTTTTTAAATGAGGTAATTTTATCCACAGGTAATTATGTTTACAAATCGGCAAAGTTACCCGTAAATTTAATGTAATAACCTAAGATTACTTATGATATAAAGTGGATAAAAAGTTGTTGTTTTGTTTTGTATGGTACACCGACATTTAGTTTTAAAGCGAGTATTTTTTCAGGCACAGGACAAGGGCACTTGAGATTAAGGTGCACTGACGTTGTATAAGCTTCCGTCAAAACCCATATAAAGTTCTCCGTAGATAAGAAAAACATCTGTAACATTTCTAGTATCTACTACTCTTAAACATACCAGAAAGTGTTTATAAATAGCATATAAGCATCACTGTCCGATATGTACACGAGAGTGACTGTTACATTGTAGCTTTTGCGCCTGTCAGTTGTAACCCCGGTCCCGCCCCCAAGAGAAAGAAATTTTGATTTTTTGGTTTAAACCCGATAAAGGTCTAACTCCGTGAGAACATAAAGTTGTAGATCTAATACCGCTACAAAATGCTTCCATACTGACAGTACTTTATCTTTAACATCATCCTGCTATTTATTTGATTCAAACTAAATTACCGCGGGAAAATTGCTTACTTCCCCTGCAATGCTCTACGGTGGCACAAAGGTGACATGTGTATGTTATTATTCATCTCGTGCGCACGAGATACTATGTCGTGGCCACGAGTTACTAAGTCGTGGGCACGAGACGGTTAAGTCGTGGGAACGAGATACTATATCGTGGCCACGAGATAGTATGTCGTGGCCACGAGTTACTAAGTCGTGGCCACGAGATGATTAAGTTGTGGGAACAAGATACTATGTCGTGGCCACGAGTTACTAAGTCGTGGCCACGAAATACTTAAGTCGCGCGCACAAGATAAATAAGCAATCAGATTTTACTATTTATACGAATTCTCCTATGATCCCTCTAAATTATATAAAGCATGGCTTATCCCTTCTAAATATTTCATCAACAAGGATTTTACATGAAGTGTCATGTTTACCTTGACCCTCGACCTCAAACATCCTTATAGGCTATCCATGTCCATGGGCATTGCCCCTACCAAATAAAATAAACCAGGACTAATTCCTTCTCAAGTTATCGTATAAACAATGTTAACAGACCGTTGTATGTACAAACTGACCAATTTTATAATAGAATTGTCCCACCAAAGGGTTTTAACTTAGTCAAAATTAATGCCTGATTTATGAGCCGTAGAATGTGACTTTCTAATATGATCCTAAAGACGTCACATGTATCAAGTTTAAAGTGAACACTACATTATTTTCAAAGATTAATGTTGCATGTACAACTTTAAACAGAATTTTTCTTAGTTTAAAAAAAATCATAGTGTTATCTGATTGGTTAATTATCTCGTGCGCACGACTTAGCTATCTCGTGGCCATGACTAAGTAACTCGTGACCATGACTTAGTATCTCGTGGTCACGACTTAGTAACTCGTGGCCACGACATAGTATCTCGTTCCAAAGACTTAACTATCTCGTGGCCACGACTTAGTAACTCGTGGCCACGACTTAGTAACTCGTGACCACGACACAGTATCTCGTCCCAACGACTTAACTATCTCGTGGCCACGACTTAGTAACTCGTGGCCACGACATAGTATCTCGTGCGCACGAGATAAATAAAAACACTCAAATGTCACCTTTTGTGCCACCGTAGCTCCGGTTTGACAATTATTTGTATTGACTGGTGCGTACAAAGTGCCAGTGCGAGGTTTTTAACTGAAAAACCTGCAGTAAGCACAATACAATGTTATTATTGATATCCAGCCTTATTAGATTTTAAGATGTATACAGTTGAACCTCCTACAACAACCAGCAGCTGAACAGCTGTAAAGAGTCTGAGAAGTGGATGTTGTAGGGAGGTGGCTATTGATGAGATGTTATCTTTGAGAAGGGGATGTTGTATGTTCAATAAAACCACAGGAACGTGAAATTCTATCAAATAACCAATATTAACGATATTATCAAAAAAAAGCCCCTATATAGTATATTTATAAACACAATCCTTCTTTTTTTTGGATAATATCGTCAACATTGGTTATTTGATCACATTTCAAGTTCCTGTGATAATACTTAAACCATGGTAGAACTCGAGTGTCCCTTAAAACCAAATTTCCATAGAATCTAACATAAAAATTAGCTAATAGATTCTACTATTAATAGCTTGATCTATTCAGTAACTTTTTCAAATTCTGTATAGATTATTTTTATGACAGTAGATCTACTGTACTGCAGTATCCCGAAACAACCAATTTTCAATCACAACCTAAATTCAAACACATTCTTAATTCTGTGGCACTGATGTCATGTCTGACTAAATTGCATAAAGTCCATGTTGTATTAACTTCAAAACTTGCAGAAATGCCATACTTGATTAATTGTCAGATGTTATCAGTAAAACAATAAGAAACTGTTTGTTTTAAGTGACACAATATAAATTGTCCAACTTCAACTATATCAAAATAGTCACTTGTTTAAAATAGTGGAAACATTTTTCCAAGCAAGTTAATTTTTTTTATAAAGTATTGGCTAAAGAGTTTACCATTTACCTCAGTCCTAGGTGTATTTAAAACATTTATTTATATGATGTACCACTAAATATTCATCAGACTTTACATGGGGTCCTTATTAATAAAATCTTATATTGTTATCAAATTCTTTCATCTGATGATTGTAGAATAATTGTTTTGTAGGCGATAGCAACTGGCAGATCTAGACAAGTTTCCGTATTTGCTAGTAATATAAAGTGGGGAAGGTAAAATGGCTGTAAAGATTGGATGCATTTATCATTTTGCACCCCAAATAGCGTACTAAGAAGTGATACCTTTAACTGCCTTTTTATACACATTAACAGTAGTCATACTAATGCATTGTACTTTACATATGTTATAACATTTAGTGTAAGTTTTTTAAAATCTTGAAAAAACTGTTGAAAATCGTTGAATAGACTGTTGTGAAATTTTCTACAATTTTAAGTGGCCCTGATTTATCTTGAACAAATTATCCATAGAGATTACCCTGCTGTTTGAATTTAGGTTAAAATATTTCTGAGAGTGACCCGAGTGGGTCATATCGTTTTTATTGAATTTCTAAGAAAGATCAAGACTTGTTGAAAATGTACCAACCTTTAAATGAAAAAGTTTTGATAGATGCATTAATAGCTAAAATAAATTTAAAGTATAATTTCTCCGTCCATTTATTATTGGCTAAAAATGGCTTAACTGATTGAATATTGGTTGTCCCGGGATATAAATATTACTGTAAATATTACTGTAATAGACGAATCTGCAACATTTATGAAATACTTTTCTATTCATCGCCGTATCCCAGGCTAATTTCAGTGAATCATTAGTTGTTATGAGAAAAGAAAAGGTAATAATGTGTTCCGCTAAGAACGTTAGGGGCTGAAGATACTTCATGCAATAGAAAACTTATGCTACTGTACAACAAACGCCAAACGGTCAAGATTACTCTTTGTGTTTTCTACCTTGTCAGCTTGTGTAGGCCTGCAGAGCTGTTGATACAGAGAAACTAGAAGCGGACATTGTAAAAAAATCTCACCTGCAACAAATAACTGTAACATCTGAAAAGCGCCGACAATGACCACTATTTTAGTTCCCAAACACCTGATATGTAAACACATACTGCTTACAAAATTATGTAAAATTGTAAATCCACTGTACATAACATACTATTTAATGACGTCACGGAAAGAAATGCAAGATAGATGACGTCATGAGTAGCACACCCATTGGTGACAATACGAGTTTCAAGTTTCAAGTTTTTATTAATATCTCAAGGCCCAACTGGTACTGGGCATGTGAGAAAACAACATTATAACAAATGATTACAAAACAAAGTAAAGTGATACATAATTGAAATGGCAATGTTATGAACATAATTATGTAGATCTACATAAAAAAGAGAACAAAATAGAATGAAATAGAATGAAAAAAGAAAATATGACAGTACGATGGCGAAGCACGACAACACGATGGTGTCAGTCCGTCGTACTGTCGTATTGTCACCATCGTACTGGCGTACTGTCACCATTGATACATGTCTTAAGTAATGTGTTACCTTCTGTAAATAAAGTTATAAGCTCTAATATCATCATCATCATCATCATTATTATTATTATCATTATTATACTGTCACCATCGTAGGCCTACTGTCGCCTTCCTGTCGAGCATGCGCAAACATTTCACTCAAAATGGCTTGCGAAATTTAGAACTATAGGGGGCCTACTGGCGTTTTATAAAAAAAAACATTACTGTATATTTAGAATCATTCATTTCTTTTAGGTATTATTTATTCGACAACGACATTGAACAAAATTTCAGCATTTAATCTTCCATGCAAAACGACCAAAATGTATAGATCTAGTCAAGAAATCTTTACTGAAAATCATGAAAGTATTAAAACAATAAAGGCAATAACTTTAAAAAAACCATGACTAGACTCTCGAAGAAGAAATGTATGAACAGAGAAAAAAAACCCATTACATTGACGGTTCATAAAAAATAATGTAAAATTTTGATTTCTTTTTCTTTTTACATAATAAGAAGATGATATTCAAGTTTTTTTCTATAAATACAGGATTTTTTTTTCATCAAGTGGTATGAAAAAGAATATTTCATTAGTGGCGGTGTGAATGCCGCCATGTATACGTAATTTAAACGAGATCACCATCATTTTCACGTGCAGATCTATCATTTTTTCTACAGTTGTGTTTGGAAACAACCGGTTCATAAAGAGTGTACATACATCTACATGGAGGGAACGATATAGATAAAATTTGTCAGAACTGTGACTAAGAAGGTGAGAGGTCTAAAGTTTACATGGAATAATAGATGAATAATGCTTGAAATAACAAAGCATTTGTTTTATTAAAACAATGACTTTAACATTTTAAGTGTAACTAACAGATTATTTTGAGATAGTATATACTCGTACATGTACTATATTCAACATATTTTGCAAAGTAACTCACAGGCTGTCATGCAAAATATAAAATCATAACACAATTACATAAACGCAATTACGAAAAATATATATATACTATATATACGATATAACTAAATTACTCTTTCTTTACATAAAAACCTAAGAAATAATGAGAGTTTTGAAGAAGAAGAAAAAAAAAGGATCTATAGTCAACCTTTACAAAATAGGCGTAAGATAAATACTAGATGTTTTGCGGAACTGGACAAAATTTAATGAGGGGTTTTCACATCTTATCGCAGGATACAAGTGCACTTCCGTTCAATGTGTTACGCTAACTATTGATATAGATCAATTTATAAAAGTTTGCATGGATGTGAAAACTTTTATTTGCCGAGTTCTGGAGTATCCCTATTTCAGAGAGTCGCTGTCTTTATTATAAAATTTATTCCATTAGAGCAATGACGTTATATATATATAAATGTATAAATGCAAGGCCAGGTTCAAAATTAGTGGCTCAATCTCTAATCACTACCAACCTGGTTACGATGTTTGTAGAGCCATTAAGAAATAAACGCCATGACAACCCAAACTCATGATCTAATTATTAAATATGAAATAAAACACAATTTAAAGATGTTATTCAACACTATTTACAAAGCAGACGATAGAGATACTTAACGTACATGTATTAGTAAATAATAAAATTTTCCATCAACAGAACGATGTTGTAAGTATTTTTCTTCGTTAATTTAAAGTATACCACTCAAAATTCGATAGTGATCACTTATTCGATTGAATATAATTTCATTGTTTGAACCCACTCCTTTAAGAGGACCTATATCTATGTTCCTGCCATGGATGGTGGTTGGCTTATTGTACCCTTAAAATAATCGGATAAGTGATCTCTATCAAATTTTGAGTAGAACAGATCGAAAATATTCTAAAAATAGACCTACATATACATAAGTTACCAGTAAATATGATCTGTTCAGTTGTATATTAGTATATTGAGTGTATACCCGAGAAAGTTGCTTTAAATTTAAAAGGTCAGTTACGTATCGATATTAGAGGAAGTTATTTTAAACGCTCATCGTTTTCAATAACAATACGCACAGACGCTCGCACAAGATAACGACGTTTTGTTGCAGATTATTTTAATCAATAGCAAGATTAACAACAATTAAAACTACTATACGATTTCAAGTTAAATTACATTAAAGTTTTTGTGAACACAAGTGTTATCTATAGATCTATGTAAATTTAGTGTGGGGAAAAAGTCAATTTCAACATGGGACCAAGATTTGCAGATTCATTTTGGGTAAGTCAAATTTATTTGTATTATTTGTATTATTGTATTATTTGTATTATTGTATTGTAATTATTAACACCAGCATGGACATCATAAACTAACAAAACTAAACTATCATCATCAATTAACAACTTTTTTACAATTTTTTTACAATTAATTCTTCAAAGAGTTTGATATGATTTTGCCTTATATGCGCCCCCACCAAAAAACAAAAAACAAAAACAAAACAAAAACATAATAATATATTTGAGCTGCGTCACGACAAAACCAACATAATGGGTTTGCGACCAGAAGTCAGATCAGGATCCATGCTGTTCGCTTACGGACCCTATAAAAAAGTAAAGAAACTGATAGCGAACAGCATGGATCCTGATCAGAGGGCGCGGATGCGCAGGCTGGTCTGGATCCATGCTGGTCGCAAACCCATTATGTTAGTTTTGGTCGTGACGCGGCTCATTTCATTAACTTTATAAAAGATCGAAACTGGTTAGAGACAGTATCTGCCAAAGAAAGAATGGAAAAAGAATAAAAGGTTTAAGAAAAAGACAAGATAACTCATGTTTTTTATCAATATGATCATCATCATCATCACTGTCATCATTATTTTCACCGCCATCTTCGTCGACGTAGTCATTTTCGTCGACAAGGTCGTGATATTCGATTTGTTTACTAATGATTTTATTTCACTTTTAAAATGTACCTCACTATTAGTATTTTGTACTAATTCATAATCATCAATAAGGAAATGTCCAGTTGTACCGTTTACCACTTAATATACTTAATATACTCGTTCAATTGGAGGAGAGAGGGTGAGTGTGGGGGCGTATAAATGTTATAAATTGAGAAAGTGGCTTTAAATCAAGTGTTTACTTGCTGCAGCAATACATATTCGGCAAATATATGTATGAGCGTACATATACAATATGTCATACCGAATATTTTGAATGCAATGCATTAAGAGCCTCATAAATAGTTTTGAAATATCCAAAAACAAACTGCACACAGTTAAACATGCAGCCATGCGTGGTTTCGTTCGAAACATTCGAAACATTCAGGATGATGACGTAACATGTACATGGGCTACGAGATGATATAACATTTATGGCATGGCACGTCTTTGCTTCCGTACTTTCTAGTAAAAAATATTGCATCCTGATAAAGTAATTGTCATCTTTTTGTGTTTTTCTTTACTTTGTGACAAAATTTTGTGAAGGAGTTTTTACTGATTTCCAAGAGGTAACGAACAACTTCTTTGCATAAAATTGGCGGTGGAGAACAAACGGACTTGCAAATGAACATGAACGGCAAGCAAGCCCCATACACGCCACACTAATCTCTTAATTACAAAATCTAACACATGCAGATTCTCTTCAGAATATATTACAATAAATAGACAGACGGACATACGGACGGACATTGTTTTATAGCATTTGTGTTGTTGTCTTGATTCGGTGACCATCAAGCATGGCAAAATTTGTCATTAAACACGTTAAACAATCAAGTTAACATAGCCTACTTTCGCATCTTTTCATAGAATAAATATGTGTTGTCAGAGAAACGATAATTTAATCATTTTTCACGGCTGACTTGCATAAATAGTGTTGTGTTGTTTTTTGTTCCTGGTTGCACTTTATTCATCGCGCTCAGAAACTTTTATATGCAAAGAAACTATAGCTATAGGTGGAAAGAGAAAATTATATTGATGTCCTTGTGTATATAGACCAACCTGTACATAAAGGCCAGTATAATCATTTCGGGAAAGGGTGCGGACTGGGGGAGATTCCGTACTCTCAGTGCCTAAAAGGGCGGATGATCCATCAATAAGCCTAGAATACATACATTTCGAGAAAAGAAAAAAAATCATCAAACGTTATAAAACGATCTCAAAACAACTAGTTTATATATTTATTTTTTAATAAATATTATAACCACGCTCAACAAGAGTAAATAAAAATCATAATTTATAACTGTATTTCCTGATATTAAGATCAAAATTATGGGAAAATTACCGAAACCTTGTATAAATATTACAATTTGAACTTTAATTATGAAACAGGACTTTTGTGTTCTACGACCTAAAGCGGCTTGCTCATAGACTATATTAAATAAAAAATAAAAATAAAAAACAACAACAACAAACAACAACAACAACAACAACAAAAAACAACAAAAAACGCGCATTCGTTTTAAGGAAAACAACTATGTCTGCGGAGTAAAACATTTATAAATTATACAAGCTTAATACTGGTATGCAGTGGTAAAGTAAAGTAAATGTAAATTCAATGGAGCATGCCGAAATTTAGATAATATGGCGTTATATGGAGGTCATATCCTATTAACATAAGAATTATATAGAAGGAAGTTAATTCAAAAATGAATATACCCTATATATTAAACACCTACATTAAAAAGAATCACTCTACACCGAAACTGTCTAAAATTGTTAAAGCAAGTCGCACATAGATTAAAGTCTCTTTTACCAATAACTATACACCACCAACAACAACAACACCACCAAAGACAACAACAGCAACAACCACCACATCAACAACAACACCACCACCACCACCACCAACAGCAGCATCATCAACAACAACAAAACCACCACCACCACCAACACCACCAACAACAGCAACAACAACAACAACAGCAGCAACAGCAACAACAACAACAAAATAATGATGAAATATAAGATGAGACAAATATATGTTTTGTCGCTTTTAAAATTCACATTTATTAATTCACATTCATAGAAAAATGCGCAAAGATATTGTAATGGTCGATACGTCAACATCGGTGTTTGTTAACCTTTTTGGTCAAACATTTTAATGTGAATAACTCAGATCGTTTGTTTCCATTTATGGTCATTAACTTTCAAGCTAACAAAGCAGTATTGTAGATGCACGTTCAGTTCTATTTGTCACATCGGCCTTAAGGTCAAATGGTCAAAGATCAAGGTCACGGCGGTCTGTTAAAGGTTAAGATTCGCTTTTGCAGAAACTACCAAAGTAATTCATTTTAAAGTTTGTTTACTTGTTCATTATCAATATTTAGTACCATAATTATCGCAAGAGCAGATAATTTTAGAATTATATTTTACAAAGTGACATTTTTTTTACTTTGATATTTTTAACTGGCTATTCCGAAAACAATCAAGGGTATTCACTTGATAGAAACGTTTCTAAGAGCAGAAAACCATGAATATCTCATATTTTGCTTAATTATCTCTCTTCTAAATTCAAACATCTACACGGTCGCTTGATAACTTTCTGCGCCATTGTAAATCAGCTGTTCGGTATTTTGTAAGGAGTCTTCTGATTGGCCAATAGCAACGAAACCGCAACGTTTCGCACAAGGATGCCTGATGGCGTAGAAAGCAATCGAAAGACCGTGTAGAGGTTTGAAACTCGAATCTCGCTACTGACGGTGATCAGTGGTCCTATTTAATGTATTTAGTAAAATTATTTAGTAAATTCAAGTGATTTTGACCCGTACTCGGCCGACAAACATGTATTAATCTATGTTTAAGTACCGAATCGTTGTGCCACATGTTTGTCTACCAAGGATTTTTAGCACGAATGCGCTATTTTCCTGATAGAAATGTCATGAACGGGAAGCACTTGAGAATTGTCAAATAAGAATTGAAATAAAAATGTTAGACTTGTTTCACCAGTTTGTATATAACTAAATGACAAGATAGAGTATTCACAAATTGTATACGAATGAAAAAAAACCCCACAAAAACCCCCCAAAAAACACGGTGTCTCATTTCTAATGGAACTAAGGACAATAACATCATAATTATGTTATAAACCTTTGATCTGAAGTAAATAACGGGTGACACGCCATGTTAAGTTAATTCTGTGAATATATCTTATATATTTAAGTTAGTACAATTCAGCTATGGTAAAGCCGAATGTTTATTTCAATTGCCAGGAAAATGGAGATATATATAGGTTTATTCAATTACGGCGGCTATGTACTTTCATATCAAATAAATAAATAAATAAGTAAATAAATAAATAAATAAATTAATAAATAAATAAATAAATAAATAAATAAAAAAAATAAATAAATGAATAAATAAATAAATAATCAACATATCCCGGACCGTGTGTTATCAACATATCGCATACCGTAAGTAATCAACAAATCTCGAACCGTGTGTAATGAACATATTACAAGCCAATCTCAAATCGTGTGTAATCAACATATCTCGGACTGTGAGTTATCAACATATCTCGGGCCATGAGTAATCAACATATCTCGGGCCATGAGTTATCAACATATCTCGGGCCATGAGTTATCAACATATCTCGGGCCATGAGTTATCAACATATCTCGGACTGTGAGTAATCAACATATCTCGGGCCATGAGTTATCAACATATCTCGGGCCGTGAGTTATCAACATATCTCGGGCCGTGAGTAATCAACATATCTCGGGCCATGAGCAATCAATATATCTCGGACAGCGTGTAATCTACATATCTATTCAACATACTCAGACTGTTTGTAATCAACATATCCCAGAGCGTATGTAAATCAACATATCCCAGACCGTATGTAATCAACATACTTTAAGACCGTGTGTATCAACATATCCCACACCGTATGTAATCAACATACTTTAAGACCGTGTGTATCAACATACTTTAAGACCGCGTGTATCAACATATCCCAGACCGTATGTAATCAACATACTTTAATACCGCGTGTATCAACATACTTTAAGACCGCGTGTATCAACATATCCCAGACCGTATGTAATCAACATACTTTAATACCGCGTGTATCAACATATCCCAGACCGTATGTAATCAACATACTTTAAGACCGTGTGTATCAACATACTTTAAGACCGTGTGTATCAACATACTTTAAGACCGCGTGTATCAACATATCCCAGACCGTATGTAATCAACATACTTTAATACCGCGTGTATCAACATATCCCAGACCGTATGTAATCAACATACTTTAATACCGCGTGTATCAACATATCCCAGACCGTATGTAATAAACATACTTTAAGACCGCGTGTATCAACATATCCCAGACCGTATGTAATCAACATACTTTAAGACCGTGTGTATCAACATACTTTAAGACCGTGTGTATCAACATACTTTAAGACCGCGTGTATCAACATATCCCAGACCGTATGTAATCAACATACTTTAAGACCGCGTGTATCAACATATCCCAGACCGTATGTAATAAACATACTTTAAGACCGCGTGCATCAACATATCCCAGACCGTATGTAAATCAACATATCCCAGACCGTATGTAATCAACATACTTTAAGACCGCGTGTATCAACATATCCCAGACCGTATGTAATCAACATACTTTAAGACCGCGTGTATCAACATATCCCAGACCGTATGTAATCAACATACTTTAAGACCGCGTATATCAACATATCCCAGACCGTATGTAATCAACATACTTTAAGACCGTGTGTATCAACATACTTTAAGACCGTGTGTATCAACATACTTTAAGACCGCGTGTATCAACATATCCCAGACCGTATGTAATCAACATATCCCAGACCGTATGTAATCAACATACTTTAAGACCGCGTGTATCAACATATCCCATATTTTGTTTGATCAATATAGCTCAGGCTGTTGTCATCAACATAGCTTATACATTGTGTAATCAACATAGCTCAGTCTGTGAGTAATCAACATATCTCCGAATCTCAGACACCGTATGTTCTCAACATTTCTCAGACCTTGAATTATCATCAAAGTACATAATAGGATTTAAACATACCTTAGATGTTTCAGTACTAGTTTATCACACACCGGAAGTTCAACACTATCAAGATTGATTCAAGAATATCTTAAATCGTCTGTTAAACAAAGCTCAAAGACAATTATTCAATAGTTAGTATGTCTACAGCCCCTCGACCTAACTGAATGTTATAAACAGTTTTGTGTATTTACCTTAGTAATAATCATATCTTGATATAAAGAAAGCTTGTAAAAATACCTTTATTCTATCATTCCACTTTTCCTGCCACACGATGCTCTATCAGAAATTCCTTTAAACAAAAATAATTAGAATAATAAGTACAAGATGAGTATGAACACTTATTCAGTATCAAGTGTTTTGGATAAAATGCCGCGCCAATTTAAGATGCAAATTAAAAGCGGTTTACGTTAATTCAAATTTAGATTACGAACGTGGCAATTGGCCAGTTATAGTTATTTTTGTCGTGCTTTATTTGGTCACAAAGATTATACTTAAATTCATCGGAAATCATGTGCTTTGTTATAATGGTCCCCACCTTTGCATATTTTGACATTGTGTCATCGTCACTGCTACATTAGATATAGCACGCCTAGTGTGCTGTCATTAATGGCCACGCATATTTTGTTTTTGTTTGTTGTTGGTTTGTGTTTACCACTAATAATTAGGTCTATAGTTATCATTTTGGAGCGTTAGGGGAATGACCTGGGAAAGCAAGAAGCACACCGTACAATTGAAAATCGAGACACCCGTTGAAAACGACGACAACAGTAACTTGTTCTATATATGTAACACGGAAGTAGGTGGAAATAAAATGTCAGTTAAAATTATTTATGCAATGACTAGGCATATTTCATGAAAAAACAATGTTATAAACAGTTTAGAAATGCTGGATCTTGCCTTTTTTTTTAATTTTTGTGACTATTTCGCTTAAATCGACCAAAACAAAACCTATAGGAAGTAAGCATTGTTAAACCACTGCAGAGGCAAAATGGAAGTGACGTAACGTCATTGAGCGACGCCCGTCGTGGCCTTGTTTGTTGTCTTCCGTGTTATTCTTTAATATTTACTCCATATGGTCTGTATGTTCTTAATTTATTTTTCCACGAATTTTATATTGCTTTTCGGTATTGGTCATTCCCGTATAGTTTTTCCAGCCCCATTATTGAAAAATGATATTATACATGTATAAACATGATCTTTTCTTTTCAGGAGACAGATTTTAATGGAACGCTCGGTTTTGATCTGTTATGCAAGAGAATCAGAGAGGGCCAGAAAGTTTGTAAAGACATTGAAGACTTTTTAAAAAAGAGGTTATTATCATTGTTATCTTATTATTATAAGTTATGTTTAGTAATACAAAATGTAAAATAGTAATACAAAAAGTATAGAAGAAACAGAAACTTGAGAATTCATGCACTTGCTTAGACGGCACACATCTTAGTTTAAACATATTTTATTGCATGAAATACATGTCAAATAATGTACAAATCATAAGTATATAACAAAAATCAAATGACATGCATCTAACTCATTGGATTAAAGCTCAAAATAGGAAACATTTGTCTAAGTACGGGCTGTTTGTCACCAATTCGTTTCCTATGTCATTTCCAAACATTGAAAATACATGAACTTAATAGAACTTGATTAAATCAAAATGAGTGGTCAACAAACACGTCGGATTAATTATCTAAAGACTTTAAAGAGGTGGTCACGTGGGTTCAAACTAAGTCAGAGGCAAGAGTCGATGTGTCTAAGAGCAAGAAACTTTACACTCACTGCTTTGCATTGGTAATAGTTCCAGGAACGGATTCATACATAATTATAATAAAGCTTCCAACAACACAATCTTACTAAAATAAATTCGTATAAACTAAATAAAAGGTGATCATATATAATTATATATATATTTTATACATAGACGTAGTACTACTTGGTCCCATAATGTGTATAAAGCTACATGTATATATCTGATGCAAGAATTATTGTTTGAATTTTAAAAATTTATTCTTCCAAAATGCTTGTATGAAATAAATATGGCAATTTATTGCCTTAAAAGCAAATGGCGCATGCACAAAGTCATTGCTTAACGGATAAAACCCTACTTTAAATATCAAAATAATATTTTGTTCCGGAACGTTTTATTCTGTTTACGTACATTATTCATTAAATAACAGAGACATTCCATGTTACAACTTTTTCTAGAATCAACAATATAATAATTGAACCAATATAATTTTACTGTTGATAAATTTTACTAGAACATTTTATAAGATTTAAACCCTTTAAAAACAACGACAATAAACGCATAATAAACCGGAAGTTAACTTGAAATTAAACAGCCTGTGACCGAAAATACCACACAAAAACAACTGAAATAAAAAGAAAACACCATTTGTTTCAAAGCAAATATCACAGTGGTTTCTAAAGTAAACACACTTAAGCAAAAATATTTTTGCGAAACTTTCCCCTCCTTTATCGAGAGAAGGAAAAAAAACTTTTAAAAGTCTGTTTAATATCCTCATTCTAATGATTTTTCCTGTCGTAAAGTGTTGATAAAAAATAAACACAGTTTGAAACAAACAATGCTCACCACTCATGCGTTTCTGTTGTCATCATTAATTTGAGCCGCGTAATGACAAAACCAACATAATGGGTTTTCGACCAGCATGGATCCAGACCAGCCTGCGCATCCACGCAGTCTGATCAGGATCCATACTGCTCGCTATCAGTTTCTTTACTTGTTATAGGGTCTGTAAGCGAACAGCATGGATCCTGATCAGACATCGCGGATGCGCAGGCTGGTCTGGATCCATGCTGGTCGCAAACAGATTATGTTGGTTTTGTCGTGACGCGGCTCATTTGTTTGTTTTGTGATGAAATACAATCCGTATTTTGTTTAAACACAGGGCAAAGGCAGATATACAGTACAGCAAATTGTTGCGAAGTATAGCTAGATCAGCGGACGGAAAAGAGGAAATCGGGTATGATTTATCATTTTTTGGGGGAGAGGGATGGGGGCGGGGGATTTACGTTGCACCAACATTGTTAGAAAGTCATATGACGATTTTCCAGCTTTTTACTGCCGAAGGAAGACTTCAAGCCCCGTCCGTGCCTCCAAACACCTCTCATCAGCTGGAGAGACAGGTTCTGGCGGGATTCAAACCCGCAACGGTTACGGCAAGTAGTTTAAATTCGGTGACCTTAACCACTCAGCCCGGACACACCTTAATTATATCATCATCTATATTGTGATATCAAAGACTAGAGAAACGCCTAATGATCTCGCATGAACGAAATTCATATATTATATGAAATGGTGTGTCACGAAAGAAACAAATCCTGTGTAAATTTGATTCTCACAAAAACAAATAATCAATCAGTTTTAGTTTGAAAAAAAACAAAGTTATTTCAAATCCTCAGTTTACTTAAAGTAACAAACTTCTGTAATAAAAGTGATGGAGGTCATACAATACTGATTCTATTGGACTCGTACACAAATGCAAAAACTATTTATTTCATATCTTATAAAACATAACCAATGAACTTTAAGCGTTTGCCCAGTGTAATGCTCCAATAGAAACCATTATTGGATACAAGCTTATCACTTCAGCCTTATTTTCATTTACAGAGTCCAAACAATTTCATATCAAACAAATCTAGCCTCGATTTTATTTGTCAATGATCAAAATATCCATATCAAATGCACGTATACTCTATCTAGCCACGTTTTTTATTATTTCAAATCCTTATAGTTCCGGGAATAATAAAATTTTGTGAAAATGTCAACAAAATATGGTGGTGTAAAACCTAGAAGTATTTATATATTTTTGAGAACAATAGTGATTATATTGGACTCCTATACAGCTGCTTACCATATTTCAGATTCGGACATCGCCCCGTTCAATATAGTTTTGACAGGTGTATACTCGTCCAATATGATTCAGTACTGAACTCAACAATGTGTAATAACATCATTTTATTATTTTACATTACAAGGGTATTTATATAATGAGAATTTACTAATGAGAGGTTACTTATTTCAGAGATTTGGGGCTTAGTTGGCAAGAACTCAAGAATGAAACTGAAAAGACCGCCAATTTTCACGAGTCGTCTGCGGCAGAACTAAACAAATTAGCAGACGAGATTTCACGCTTTACAGACACAACGAGATCGGAATCAAAACAGGTATTGAATTTTTATTTGTTTGGGTCATCAGACCAAACAAATAATGGTAGCGAAATTTCAGACTCTAATGCCGTTAATTGCAAGTGCCGAAAGTAGTCCGCTTTTTTGAAGCGGTTACGTCCCTTTATATGTAACACTTAGGCCGAAAAATTTAGGGGAGAACACTGCGTAAATATGGTCACATGACAGGCGGATTAATTTTCAAGCAAAATTATTCCCGAATGGTCGAAGATTTTTAATATTGTTTTATTCTTTATAGATATACATGCTTATAGTTAGCGCCATGATTATTTACACAAGTGTTAAACAACAGTTAGCGTCGTTACAAACCCTAACTAGAATAATATGGTTTTCTTAACATGTAAAGCCACCGTGGCCGAAGGGTTTGCGCGCTCGCTGAGGTAGCGAGAGGTCTGGAGTTCAAATCCCAGTTAAGGCAACTCCTTTTTTTTTCAAATTGTTTAAGTCAAATAAACATTGGATCGAATATCAGTGTTGCAATTAGTCTTATAGCCAATCTACTATAATTAAAACGCTGGAAAGAATTGCTGGCACTATACAAAAACAAAATGTTTTATAATCTCACAACCTTCACCTTTCTGACATCCTGAGACCTAAACAAATTCAGCGCCTTCTGTGCTTTGATTTTTTTTATCTCGGTTCATGATACACGGACATTGATAGAGTGTTTTAGGTTCTTACGGACAATATGTTTAGTTTAATAATACAATTTGCAGCATAAGTTATTGGGGAAAGAACCCGCCCATTTTACATTGTTTCAGACACGAGCAAGTGCTTGTTTCAAGTGTTAACTATAATTTTCCGTAGGAAAACATCAAATCTTCTTCAAGATTCGAACCTATCCTTAAACCATATTTTGTTTCAACTATATAGAAATGTTATAATCAAAATGCAAAGCGTTCAACCATCGATAGCAATGAAAATCTATCATCGCAAGCTCGAGTTTATTCAAATGCATTTACAAAGGGATCATTTTATTGGTAACAATTTGTGTCAGACACTCGGCCATATTTAACCTTGTTTTAGTGTACACGAATAATCTGTCCGGTAAATAACGGAAAATTGATGACAAATAGTCTGTTAATTTACCGGAAGTCAATGAGAAAGCAAACAGGTTACGACCAAAAACATAAAAAAAACAACAAAAAACTTCACTTAATCACTTGTTATGTTTATTTTAAAACTAACGATTCATGTTCATTTGAACATTTCTTATAGATGTGTGAATCAATATTCTCATTGAACAGGTTGAAGACAGAGTAAAAGAGAAACAGAAACTAAAGAAAAATGCGCACAACAGACTACAAGAGGTATGTAGGTCATTTGTTACAAGACTTAACTTGTCTTGTTATATTATAGCCAAATAGGTGTACCAATTCCAGTGCTATTGTTATATGTACAATATCATCTTGTTTTCGAACTTGTATGAAAACCTAAAATAGCTACATGTGTTATACTGCACTAAAACTGCGTCAAATGATGTCTTAAAGGCACATTATGCCTCAGAAACACATAATTTTTTACATCTGAGTAATACTCGGCCTTGGTAGCATGAACCTAGAATCATATTTTCAGTGTCGCTATATACTAAATTCAATATCAACATAAAGGAAATACAATTTATGATAAATTCTTAATCGGTGGCGTTGTATTACCCGGAACATTTGCCAAGGATTTGCATAGATGTCACGTTCAGAAAACGGGCTTTGGTGGTCAACTTTGATGACATGAGAAACTTTTGGAATAAAAACAACGGAATCTAGCCTGCAATATAGCTAACTTTTCACACGCTAATTTTCAAGACGCTACTCGAAAGTTCGCGAAGTGTCGCGTTCTATCTTTATTGCAGTGTGTTCTAAATTCTCAGTATATATCTCTGAGAAAAAAGTTATTGTGTGACACTCTTGAAAAACAAATGGCATAAAAAATGATGCTAGATAGATGTTGACTATGATAAACTGTCTGGCTGGAAGTGATTCGAATGTGTATGATACTATGTGAATGTATAATGAGAATGCCCACTTTATTTTCAGCTTCAAAAGTCCTACCATGAGAAATGCCGAGACATGATTCAACAAGAAAACCAGCTTGATACAGCCAGATCTTCAGTAACAGTCCCCATAAAAGAACTTGAAAAGGTAATAAAAATCTCAAACCCATACATGAAATAAATTGTATAACTATGCTTTGTTAAGGCCACATTATGCCTCAGAAATCGAAACCTTTTTAATTTTATATGTTTGTTTGTTTCATTTTACGCCTTTTTCCAACAGTATTTCAGTCATATAGGCGGATACTTTCCTAACCATCGTTCCTGGAGAGTTACACCAGTACTTGACTACCTTCCTCCGCGCTAAACAACCAAAGCATCTCCCGGGGATCGAACCCACGCCAGAGAGGTAACAAGATTAGAAGTCATCGACTCTAACCACTCGACCGCGGAGGCGGTTTTTTATTTCTTTAGAAATGTTAGACATGTGCTTAATAATGTTTAAATACCAGATAAAGAGTATGTAAAATGTTTAACAACTGAAAAAGTATCGTGAACATGCAATTATGTCAATCGGAACGTCCTCGGCTGTTATCTATTACAACTTATCCTTATCCGGAGACTGACGAAAAGGGCTGAAAAGTTGCGATTGGCAGTTATGTGTCGTAAAGGTAGTAAAATGTAAACAAAGGCGTTTTTTAATTTCCATACAAAATATTAATTCTCTATAGCTATACCAGTTGCCAATTGAGCTGAAGATGCAAAAGATAGTTTATGTATATGGTCAATGAATATATACAAAAAAATGATGCAAAAAAAACAACAACAAAACCAACTGCTATGGTGACAAAATGCCCTTATCATGTCACCAAGTGCTTTTCATGTTAAAATATAGTCTATGATGGCACGATGTGATTTTTTGCAGCTTCAAAATTGCATACTATGAAACGAAGTGATTTTTTTTTATTTTGTTGATACAACGTTGCCTATTATGACACAATGTGATTTTGTTGTTATAACGTTGCCTTTTATGACACAATGTGATTTTGTTGTTACAACGTTGCCTATTATGACACAATGTGATTTTGTTGATACAGCGTTGCCTATTATAACACAATGTGATTTTGTTGTTACAACGTTGCCTATTATGACACAATGTGATTTTGTTGATACAGCGTTGCCTATTATAACACAATGTGATTTTGTTGATACAACGTTGCCTATTATAACACAATGTGATTTTGTTGATACAACGTTGTCTATTATGGCACAATGTGATCTTGTTGATACAACGTTGTCTATTATAACACAATGTGATTTTGTTGATACAACGTTGCCTATTATGGCACAATGTTACTTTGTTGATACAACGTTGTCTATTATGACACAATGTTACTTTGTTGATACAACGTTGCCTATTATAACACAATGTGATTTTGTTTATACAGCGTTGCATATTATGACACAATGTGATTTTGTTGATACAACGTTGCCTATTATAACACAATGTGATTTTGTTGATACAACGTTGTCTATTATGGCACAATGTGATCTTGTTGATACAACGTTGTCTATTATAACACAATGTGATTTTGTTGATACAACGTTGCCTATTATGGCACAATGTTACTTTGTTGATACAACGTTGTCTATTATGACACAATGTTACTTTGTTGATACAACGTTGCCTATTATAACACAATGTGATTTTGTTGATACAGCGTTGCCTATTATGGCACAATGTGATTTTGTTGATACAACGTTGTCTATTATAACACAATGTGATTTTGTTGATACAACGTTGCCTATTATGTCACAATGTTACTTTGTTGATACAACGTTACCTTATTGACACAATGTGATTTTGTTGATACAACGTTGTCTATTATGGCACAATGTTACTTTGTTGATACAACGTTACCTTATTGACACGATGCGATTTTGTTGATACAACGTTGCCTATTATAACACGATGTGATTTTGTTGATACAGCGTTGCTTATAATGACACAATGTGATTTTGATGAAAAACGTTTTCTATTTTACACAATGTGATTTTGTTGTTACAACGTTGTCTATTATAACACAATGTTACTTTGTGTATACAACGTTGCCTATTATAACACAATGTTACTTTGTTTATACAACGTTGCCTATTACAACACAATGTTATTTTGTTTATACAACGTTGCCTATTAGGTGTCATGAATGTTCTTATGTGACGCATTAAAATCAAGGTGACATTATAAACATACACTTGGATTGTAGAACCCGCTCTTCTCCGTTCCTGAAAATGTGACATGATACTGTCAATGTGATATTGTTAATGTCACACAATGTATTCAAGGTGATACAACATAATCAAGGTGTCGTGATATACATGAAGTCATTAAAGAAGAAACAAGATAACAATTGACAAAAACTATTTTTCTATATAAGTGTGGCATATGTCAATAAAAATTATTTAAAACAGGAAAATATTGTTCGATTTATCAGTAAAAGTGTTACCTTATTAATCTAAGTATTCCATTTATAAACAGGTAAAATTCTTATCACACTCGGTCGTCACGTGCTGTTAATCATACGTATCACATGTCCATATAGATAACTGTATATTTCACAGACACTTGGGGTTTGCAGCTCAAAACGCCTTTAAAATCCAAATAAAATGCATATTTGTCAATCCCAGAACATGTACTGATCATATATATCAAAAAACTTACATACACAAGTGAAACCAGTATAATAGAATGTTGGTCTAAATTAATTCTATTGATTAGCCGTGTGGGACACATTCTTGTATTAACCACGTGATATTGTTGTTGTTTATTTTATATCTTTATTGATTGATACCATGTGCCATTGGTAGGGGCGTGGCTTGAACAGATTTAATAGTACGCACAAAATCGCTAGGGTTAATGGGCGGCTTGAGATTAATTAAAGTCAAGAAATAATTTACATATTATGTGAAAATAAGCATGCATCTGGACGCATGCAGCTTTAACTAAGAGTCTTTCAAATTCAATAGATCTATTTGAAAGACCATAACGTCAAGTTAAAATTATCAATATGGCGGATTCATCCCAAGATCTAGTATTTTCTGCTATGGCCTCATATACATATAGATGATACATTACATGTACATTTATATGGGTATTTAGAGGGAAAATATATCATTTAATTTAGTTAACAAATTTAAATATTCTTACAAGCCACATTAATTTCAAAATTGTTTAATAATGTGTATAAAAATAGCCCATAACTCGTTAGTAACGGTATATACCAATGGTTATAGAAACTTAAATACAGCTTAGTTTAGCATATAACATTTATAGCATTTGATTGATTACAAATATTGATACGTTTCTGGATTTTGTTTTATAAATTTTCTGAAATATTTCTTGTCTCATCTGTATGCATGTGGATTTAACATATTTTATATTTCGCAGTTGAAGGCCAAGGTTGACAAAAGCCGGGAAGCAATGGATAAATCAGGTAAAAAAATATCAGATTAAATGTGATTGTACATTTGAGCCGCGTCACGACAAAACCAACATAGTGGGTTGGCGACCAGCATGGATCCAGACCAGCCTGCGCATCCGCACAGTCTGATCAGGATCCTGCTGTTCGCTTACCAACTCTGAAGGGAAACTGATAGCGAACAGCATGGATCCTGATCAGACTGCGCGGATGCGCAGGCTGGTCTGGATCCATGCTGGTCGCAAACCCACTTTCTTGGTTTTGTCGTGACGCGGCTAATATTTTCTGTTCAGTTATTTTCCTCTCTACATCAAATTAATCGTTCATAGTTCAAAATCATCACTCCCCAGGACATTTATTTTACCAGCATGTTTTCTTTTCTCGTTATTTTCTGCTGTAGTAAGTGGTTGATTCATCGGAACATTCTTTAACTTCCTTGTGAACACCTCTCATGCAAATTACTCGTTCGAGACTCCAGTCTACTCTCAATTTGCATTTAAAGCCAATTAATCACAAAAAACATAAATATTATATTTCGAAATCTTTTTTAAACAGTTTTCAAAATGTTTTTTTCACTTTCCATTCATATTGACTATTTTTTTTACTTCCTTTATATTTTGGCAATTAACACCGTTATTGTAATTCAGTAAGGAATTGTAAGGAAGACAAACTACTACTTTATTTACATTTACTATTTTTATGACAAATTTACATTCGGTGCTACTTTCTTCAAATTATAAGCCTCTAAAATGCTTTTTTAAACAGTATAAATCACATTGTTGTCCTTTTTAATGACTAAAAATAATTTCTGAGGCTTAATGCGCAATAAGCAATTTGCTAACACATACATTTGTGCGGCATATTGCTACATCAAGATTATGAATCTTTATTCAATTTAGATTCACAATTTATTGTCACAGTGGTATGATACAAACCTCACATGTAACATGTGGGATTCTACATTTAAAGATTTCCCGTGAGATAAAATGCCTATATAAGAAGAAATACGGTGACAAGAGGGGGTCATCGAAAAATCTAATATTTATTTTGTGGAAGTTAACAAGAGTGCACTTATAAACTATTACATTCGCACGCATCAACTAGTTTAACTAGGGTTTTGGTAGGCTTTGCTGTTAACACGTGTGCTCGTGATAAATTAATTATTTTCTCATCTCCCCCGTATAGAAATTTATGAAACGAATACAATCTTTTTTTTCCTGTAGCATACTTATAAATCAGTTTAATTCACAAGGGAAACAACTTCTGGTTATCATATAAACATTTTAGTACGAGTATTCACCCTTAGTGATATCTTCCTGAAACAGATATTATGGAAGTCCCGAAGCGCCATCTTGACTTGCGCCTATATATTCACTTTTTTATAAAAGATAAATATAGCTTAGTTTCTACGCATCTAAGATTTGAGCTATTTGACAAATTTACAATGCCTGAACTTATTTCCCTAGCAATTGTCAGCTATTCTTGCCATAAAATGTTATCTGCTTTGTCACGTAAATAGGCAAACAGAAAAATGAAAGCAATCTTAAAATGAGATCTTTATTTGTTTATTTCCTTTTCCGTATAATTATACTTGTGTAATGAATGATAAAAAACGAACTTTGATACACAGCGCGAGTACTGTTCCGTGAGGAGTGTAGTGCATTACTGCAATATACTTACTCGATGAATACTACCCACTAAGTAATTCTCACTCAAAGCACATTTGTAGTATTATCTTTGTACATTTTCTTCACATTTAATTAAGCTTTACTCTAAATGAGTCATGTAACGACAAAACCAACATGGTGCATTTGCGACCAGCATTGATCCAGACCAGCCTACGCATCCGCGCAGTCTGATCGGAATCCATGCTGTTCGCTATCAGTTACTCTATTTGTAATATGGTTGTTAAGCGAACAGCATGGATCCTGATCAGATTGCGCGGACGCGCAGGCTGTTCTGGATCCATGCTGGTCGCAATCGCACTATGTTGGTTTTGTCGTGAAGCGGCTCAAATTATTTCTTAAAATAAGAAAAAAGATAGTATAGGTGTTATCTAGAATCGTAGATTAGATTTAAAATAATGGCAAACGATCATAAAACTCTAGGCTTTTTTTTCTGAGTCGCTATTTGATGAAAAAAAAAATCGCATGAAAAATCGTTAAAGATAACTGCCTTAATTTTGTTGGAGAACAATACAAAAAGTTTGATGTTCCGTTCGGGCCATCAAAAAGCATGTGACATTCTACGATTAAGAATACATTTAAATGGTTACATCGCGATATGCATTTGACGAATGGCAAGATGATATAACGGGGTATGCCAGTAACGTAATTAAAAAAAAAGAAGCAGCATGATTATACTGGCGAATTAAAAAGAAAAGGAGAATGGAAAAACAGAATAAAAGAAACAGCTTGTATAAACTGGCGGATTTCACCTTCCATAGGATTCATACATGTCATCGGCTATTTCAAAGATACATGTCTCATTTATCTTTTTTACAGACGGCTTATATAAACAGTCGGTAGAGTATTTAGAGCAGGCCCGTATCAACTGGGAAACAGACATGGAAGAAGGGTGTCAGGTAAAAAATGAATAATGACGTTTCGAAATCGCATAAAGCTTGTATTTCTAAATTTTATGACATAAACTTAGTGTTTAGAATTTATTTTTGTCCAATAGGATTGGAGTATTTAAAATGAATTAAACCCACTAACGTCCAAAATGGCCAATGGAAATTGTCTAAATATGTGTATATTGGGATTATATAAAGGCCCAGAATTGCCAATGACAATCAACGTTGCAAAAATGCAGGATCTCATTTTATAAGTGAGCCAATTGGGTTAATATCAAGTAAAACAATTCACTACTTAAAATAGCAAAATCTTGAACATTTATGAACTCATACATTTCAGAAGCCACTTCTCTGTTGATAGTCAGCCCTTGCAAATTCCATGTTTTATTGGGGGAGGGGTGGGGTGGGGTTAACATTTATCATAACCATACATAAGTAGATATTTTATTTTAAAAAAATCATCTATATTCTTTCAGCTTTTCCAACAACTTGAAGAAGATCGGATATATAAATTACGTGATATTTTATGGAAGTGTACAAATATTGATTCACAAGTCTGTGTTGACTGTGACGAGGTATGTAATCATCAATGTCGTCATTTCCGGTTAAATCTTTACGATAATTACTTTTTGGAATAACACAAACATTACTGTTGCTTGCTTTAGATCACTTGCACTTTACCACAATGGATTTGAATCCCACCAGGGACCTTGTGTAACATTGTGAGAAAAATGTGCAGCCTGACCGGGACTCGAACTCGGGACCCTCAGAATACCGTTCCGTGACTCTAACGCTTACACATCATCTCCCCGAAATTGTGTATAGTACTGAACCGTGAACTTTCAAATGAGGAATCTAGCATGCTTTTTACGAAAGGTCGAAAGTTCAAGTTGGTGTTGCATGCAATATTGGTAGAACACCGAAAACCTGATTTTCTGAACATTATCTTCGTAACATTTGTTTTCTTCTTAAGAAATCTAAAATATGCTAATTCCAGAGTTGTGAGATAGTTCGGCAGTGTTTAGAGAAATGTGATATCCAGAAAGAAATGCTTGATTACATTCAAACAAACATGACCGGAACCGTTCGACCAGGTATGTATTTTCAAGGTTTATCATCAAGGCTTGCTATAATAAAAGGAACACAAATGCCAGGATTTAGATTGTTTGTGTTCAGGATTAAAATTAGTTAAAATCTTGTAAATCTGTTAACCATGGTAATTAATACCTCAGTTTACAAGATGTCAACAAATAAACTTCTGAGCTTACATCCTTTATGTCATAAAAGTCATATAATATAATGCCATATAATTTAATGTCATAAAATATCATGCAATACAGTATAATGTGATATAATCCTATGGCATATAATATTATATAACATCATGAATTACAATATCATGGCATATAATCTTATGTCATATAATATTATGTAATACAATATTATGTCAAATAGTCTCATGTCATACAGTC